AAACTGTGCTGGTATCGGATCGGTAATGGTATTGTCCGATACTCAGAACTTTTGGTATCGGATCGGGATCGGTTCTGAAAAAATTGTATCGTGCCACCCCTAGTTATTTCTATCTTTTGCTGTAGTGTGTCAGTAGGAAATATCAGTTTACATTTCCAAACATTCATTTTGCCAATAACTGTAATAATCCAGTGAGATTAACGACAGCCAGTGCTCCACACAGAGATCTGATCTCATCATCATCCAGTCTGTCTGGAATGAGATTGCACCTAGGGCAAAAGCTGCTTTAAACGCAAAGGATGGTCAGACCAAATGTTGATTTAATTTAGTTAGTAGAAGTTAATTGATAAAGAAATTCTATTTATGACATTATTTTTGACAGCATCCTCATTTTACAGCATTTTTACACAAGTGCCTAAAACTTTTAACAGTACTATAGCTTTGAAGGTTTCTTGTAGCATCTTGAAGACGTTGCCACAGTTCTTCTGGATTTAATCTGTCTCAGTTTGTTCTGTTTCTTCATGTCATTCCAGACAGACTGGATGATGATGAGATCAGATCTCTGTGTGGAGCACTGGCTGTCGTCAGACTCCTTGTGCAAACAAAAATCTCTTTGGAATATTACAATTAATGGCAAAATGAATGGGATATTTCCTACTGACACATTACAGCAAACAATAGAAATAACTGACTTAAATCCATTTTTTTAGCTGGTGAAAATACTAGTGTTCTAATAATTTTGGCCACCACTGTATATAAAATACCTTCTTCTTTATTGACATATATTTTATTAATGGCATTTTTGTGTCAAGCTGTTTTTCCTGTTGAACACAGCATAAATGTCCTGTGAGTGGTGTTTAGATTTGTCCTCTTTTGTTAGAGGATGAATGGAGCTGCTAGTGCCTGTGAGCTGCATTTATGGCTCCATCACAGGCTGCCAATGTGCTCTGTTCCCTCATAAACGCACGTTTGTCCCGGCATTCGCTGTGAATGATGTTGAATTTACACTGACTGAACCTCAGCAGTACTTTCACTACATCTCTGTCCCTCGTCTGTCCTTTCATACGACATCCTGGCACAGATAGGGTGGATTTATGCCCATGGGGGGAGCCGTGGGGCCTAGCGGACATGATAAATGGGCCAGCGTGTAGGGCCGACCAAAGCCTCCACAGGAACGCTGCGCACAGCCAATGAGTTACAGTTGTGGCTCCTGTCATGGTGTGCGTTAGTACGAGCGACTGCTGACAGCTGTTTAATCATGGACGTTTCCATGTGCTCGCCCGACGACATCAGCAGCCACTGAGGACCAGCTGTCATGAAGCAGGGGAGAACGGAGTAAAAACGCATCCCACCTCACGCATCTCCACGCCGGCTCTCCTCCGTATCCCCACACTTTACCACATTAATTAGAGCTTCCTCATACCTTAATTACACCAAGTTCTGTGCTAATGCCGGAGTCCTGTGTGAATTGCTCACCGTTTCTTGCAGACTCTGTGCCTGATTTGCATTTCACAAAAGGTTTATTTCTATTCCTAGATGAGAGAGAGAGAGAGAGAGAGAGAGAGAAGCAAATGATTTGTGATGGGGAAGAGGGGTTTGTGCTAGTAAAGTAAAGCTGTGGTTCACTTTCGTATAACCTTGTGCTTCACTTATGGGTCTTTGTTTTACGTGCTGTCTCAATTATGGCAAGCCTGGGCTGCTTTCCTGAATATCATTTCCGGCTCAGAGTACAAAGCACTTTCACATGTTCTTTTACAGTGCCAAGCTCAATGTTTGTCTCTGTTTCTCATGTTTTTCCATAAAGCGTTGAAAGGTTTTTGTAGTCTAGTGCTGCTCAATTTAATTTCAGCGTTGACTTTGTGCTCTGTTGTTCATAGAAGCTACTGTAACTAAAGGTCATTGTGTTCTGAAAGTTTGAAAGGTGAATGTTACATCTTAATGTTGAGATGAGAAGAATGCATGCTTAATTCAACCTGCTTTCCTTTTTTTGATTGCAATTGGGATCCTATTTCAAGCCTTTTGGAATTACAATGTGCCTTTTTCCAGTTACACTTAAAAATCTAGATTAAAAATCAATTTAATATTTCATTTGTTTATTAGATATTAGCTTTAGAGTTTCATAAGAGATCTCAATGTACTTTCTGTGCTATTTGCTATGTATCTATAATGTATCTATAATCAAAAACTTCCATTATAAATTCAAACATTTCTTATGAAATTTGAAGTTTGAAACGCCAACTTATCTGAGCTGAGCTAATAGCATTAACTCATACTGTTATATGCTGTGTCTCTCAGTCTCTTTATTTCTGCACATGAAATTTTGCCACATAAAATTGAGAAATCATATATAATTTATTGTAAATATTGTAAAAAGCCTGTTATTTGTCTATAATTTGTGTCTAGTGTTTTAGTAATTGATCATGCCATTAAAAATAGCCCTTGATATAGATGAATGGATGGATATTTAATTTTTTCCTAAGAAATTTTAGAGCATTCGTAATTGATAATCCAGCTAAACTGGATAAAATATATTATTCAAATAAATAAAAAAATATATCTGACTTTCTGTAGTTCTTCTCAGTTATGGTGAATATTACAACCTTAAATGATGGTGACAAAAATTTGATTGAATTTTTTTAGATACCTAGTTCTTTGTTTTTGCACTTTTTTATATTGTGTAATTGTAAATTTCTTCTTTTAATACCAAAAAAGTTATAATAAATGTATTGTATTGCATTGTATTGAACTCTTATGCCTGCGAAAAAGCAACCGATTTAGTTTTTTAATTAAAATTTTTAATCTTGCAGTCACATCTTGTCACTCCTGTGTTGGAGCTTGTTCTTTACGTTTATCTTTGACCCACAGGATGTTCACTGGTGACGGTGTTGAGGAACAGAATATTGTAAAAAGCCTGTTATTTGTCTATAATTTGTGTCTAGTGTTTTAGTAATTGATCATGCCATTAAAAATAGCCCTTGATATAGATGAATGGATGGATATTTAATTTTTTCCTAAGAAATTTTAGAGCATTCGTAATTGATAATCCAGCTAAACTGGATAAAATATATTATTCAAATAAATAAAAACATATATCTGACTTTCTGTAGTTCTTCTCAGTTATGGTGAATATTACAACCTTAAATGATGGTGACAAAAATTTGACATTTTTGTAAATATTTCCCACATATTTGTAATTTAATTATAGAATTTTTTTTAGATACCTAGTTCTTTGTTTTTGCACTTTTTTATATTGTGTAATTGTAAATTTCTTCTTTTAATACCAAAAAAGTTATAATAAATGTATTGTATTGCATTGTATTGAACTCTTATGCCTGCGAAAAAGCAACCGATTTAGTTTTTTAATTTAAATTTTTAATCTTGCAGTCACATCTTGTCACTCCTGTGTTGGATCTTGTTCTTTACGTTTATCTTTGACCCACAGGATGTTCACTGGTGACGGTGTTGAGGAACAGGAGAGCAGTAGGGGTGCACAGGGGAGGGAGACAGGGGTTAGGACTGGGGCAGGAGTTCAGATCATCTCGTTGTCTTTCTCTGGGGCACGTTATGCATGGATGCTCGCACATTCATCACATTCCGTAGGTAGTATATTCTTTTAACTCTATATATAGGTTGCTTATTTTAATATACGTCACATGATATCGTCATGGCGGAGGAGTCTGTGAGGAAGACCCCTTTAGCGTAAGTAAAGCTCCGGATAGATTCATGCTTGAGACCTCAGTGCTGTTTAGACGGGAAAATGCTGGATATGGGTTGTATGTGTCATGATTTTGTTTAGTAGTTGCTGGTTTGTTTGGAACTCTTTTGGAAGACGTTCATGTAGTCTTTAAGCATTCTTCATCTACGTGGTGGAAAGAACATTAGACTGAAAGAAAGACAGAGATAGAGCTGGAGTGAAAGAGAGTGAAGGAAATGTGAGGTTTGGTAGTGGAGTTTCCACTGACATGCAGTTTGTGAACCTTTGAAATATCATGATACTGTCTTCAATTACTGCATTAGCTTCAGAATAAGTGCTTACTAGCAACATATTTTCCAAGTAAATACATACCTTGAAGTTGGAGTTCGTTATGTGCACATGGTCAGTCAGGGCTATATTGTTTGGTTCTGTTCTGTGAGATGATTTTTTTGAGAAAACAGGGTAACCATTGAACTTACTGTGAAAATCAGTTTGTTAGAAAAAAAACATATTGTCAATTAATCTAAATAAATATGGGGCATTATTAGGGGAAAAATCTAATTAGAGTATCAGGTCATCAAGTCAAAATTTCTGATATGTCAGATTTATTGGTAGATGATAGATAAAAATGTTAAATCTACTTATAAAATTGCTTGTAAAATGTTAAAATTGAGGGATTATTATGTTAAAAAGTTATTTGCTGGAAAATGTTGAGGGTCATTAGGTAAAAATTTGAAATTTGCTGGTAAACTTGGGGAGGGGGGAGAGGCGTTATTAGGTAAAAATGTTACAAAAGGCAAAAAAAACATAAATTATTAATTTGAGGGTTTATTGGGTTAAAATGTTACAAAAGTTACAAAAATGTAAAATTATTCATTTGAGGGTTTAATAAAATGTTACAAATGTTACAAAAGTGTAAAATTATTCATTTGAGGGATTGTGTTAAGATGTTACAAATTTTACCAAATGTGGAATTATTCATTTGAGGGATTATTTGGTTGAAATGTCACAAAAAAATACAAATTTGAAGGATTATTGGGTTAAAATGGTACAAAAATGTAAAATTATTAATTTGAGGGATTATTGGGTTAAAATTTTAAATTTGGGGTAAAATGTTAAAATGGAGGGATTATTTGGCTAAAATGTTACATTTACTGGTAACATGTTAAAATTGAGAGAATTGATGTTAAATTTACTCATAAGATTGGGAAGCTATCAGGTAAAAATGTAACATTGGCGACTATTGAATTTGAACCTAAATTTCTTATGTCCCCTTTCTCTTTCTCTGTCTCCTCTCCCCTTCCAGTTTGCACCAGCAGTTTGCCAACTACAAGGAGCAGGTGAGGCGGATTGGGCCGGAGCCCCCCCAACAGAGGCAGCAGGGCCAACACAAGGATGACGCCCCCACCTGTGGCATCTGCCACAAGACCAAGTTTGCTGATGGCTGCGGAAACCTGTGCTCCTACTGCCAGACTAAGTTCTGTGCCCGCTGCGGGGGAAGGGTCTCTCTGCGTTCCAATAACGTGAGTACCACCTATATCGTGTGAGTGGCCAGACTGTTTTTCATGCTTCCTCGACCTGCATCTGCACACATTTAAGCAAGGACAGGGAGAGAAGGGCGCTGGGTGGATGAGAGAAAGGTTAATTGGGCATTAGTCAGAGGAGATGACGCTGCTGGTCACCGGGGGGTCACCGCACACCCACATTGGGATGCCCGAGTCGGCACTGACTCTCCACGGGGCAGCCGTACCACGCAAAGAGAAGCACCTGAAATGGTAGCCCACCTCCTGGAGTGTGATATTTACCTTCGCTTTCTATTCCTTCCACTGAGTCCAGAGCGCTAATTAGTGTTCAGTCATAATGAGTGCAGTGTAGGGAGTCAACAGCTCACCGACAGCGGCAGTAGAGTAGGGAGTGAGGTCAGTGAGGTGGAGATAAGGGTAAATGTAATTAATAACACACTGATTTAGTTACAGATGTATCCATCTGTATATTTGAAGTAAATATGTAAGTTTTTATAGCTACACAATGAAGCCAGGCCATTTTTAGTGTAACTATTGTCTACGCCAGCCAATGGCAAGTGAATTGAGAAATTTTATTGGCAGTCAATGTATCCTATCATGCATTTTTTATTTACATTTTATTTACAAGTTAATAAAAAAGGTAATTATTATTTTGCTTATGAAAAATTTATGATTTTTAGCCATAGAATGACTAATAAATAATATTAATGTCATGAATAATGCTATTTTTTTAATGAAGAATAAACAATATATTGACAGTATTAGTTATCAGTATTAAAAATGTTATAGTTTTTTGGTAGCTGTCGAAACTGGATATTTAGTTGTACATGCTCATTTCCCCTTTACATTTAAATTATCTTTGCCATCATCCAAATGCTCACTTTGTTAATCTTTAAAATGCTAATAATTTAATTACACTGTTAAATAAAATCTTTAGCAAATGTCAAAATTAATATCTAGAGTGAATTCAGGTAAATTGGGCAACTTTTTGCTATTGAGAAGACTGGGAAAATATGGCCCAATTATCCTAAAATTAATCATATTTTTAATTTTGCATTATAATGCTGTGATACTGTACCTAAATTTAGTTGGGACATTAAAATGTTTTTGGTATTTTAAAAACATTAACATTAAAATATTTTTTTGTGTTTTTTTCCCATTTATTTAGACAAAATATAATTTTTATGTATCTACCATTTACTGGTTATTGGCTTAAAATGTTTATCTGCTTATTGGCATCAGCCAGAATTTGAATTTCATTACATTCATATTTTTAATAAGTATATTTTCCACTGAGATTATGATTTAATTAATGTCAGCTAGGACCTGTTTGTTGCTTTTGTATTGATTTTGTAACTCCCAAAGCTGATTTTTACTTACATTTGGCACGTCGTGAGGTTTAATTTTGGTTTTGATGTGAGAAAGCTCAGATAGGGCCAGTGTTGAGTGTAGAAGGCTGTTCAGATGCTTTTGTCTGTGTCTGAGAAGGTAGGAGAAATCCCATATGTGATGCAATGGAAGTGAAGTCTCCATTGGTAGTGGATGGGTGCTGCCCTGAGGTTAGTTTCGCTGAAATGAGCGCATGTTGTTTCTCGGAGCCCTTTGGCATGTGCTATTAATGAGAGTGGCAGTCTTGATAATGGAGTCGCTAGATGCCTGTAGGTTAAACATAGAGAGCTACACCTACTCAATCTGGTAGACTGGAAACAGTAGCTAAAGGCGATGAAATACACTTAATAGCTATTACTATGAGCATAGCCATTGCTATGAGTAGCCTGAGCTGGTCCAGAGTGAACAGACTCAAAATAGTTCATTGAAACTGTTACAAAAATCAGAAATGCTGCACCCAGTGTATCATGGTTTTCACAAAATATTAAGCAGCGCAATTTAAGTTTTTAACATTGATAATAATAAGAAATGTTTCATGCATACCCAATCAGAATAAAAGATTGATTTCTGAAGGATTGTGTGACACTGAAGACAGGAGTAATGGCTGCTGAAAATTCAGCTTTGTCATCACAGGAATATATTACATTTTAAAGTATATTCTAATATGAAACAGTTATTTTCATTTGTAATAATATTACCGATTTTCTTTATTTTGTTCAAATAAATACAGCCTTAGTGAGCATTCAAAAACATAAAAAATCTTACCAGCCCCAAAATTTAAAATCATAGTGTATATATGCACAATTACATTTATTTCTGAATGCCCAAAGTATTTTTTAAAGGAATTTAATAAACTCCCAGCCACAGACTAGCCACAATTAAAAGTGCAAACTACAAAATTAAATACAGTAAATTGAATTAAACATGGCAGATGGCTGTACCATGATGCTTTTACTATGACATCTGAAGTTAACCAATCTTCTTCCTCCGTGCTCATTGATATGTATGCCAGCCTCCAATGGATAAGTCTCCAAAATGATGTGTCCTGCAGTGTGAATCTGTATGGATTCTTCATTAAATGGCAGTGAAATACATATGACAGCTAGTTAATGAAAAATGGTACAGTGTTTACACCTGCCTTTAGTGTGCATTTGTTTATCAGTGTGCAGGTGTTTTATAATTATACAATAGCATTTTAGTGTCTGTGAATGTTTTTACTATGGTGGCTCTGAAGCAGTAGGACCTACTAAGCGGAATGTCATGTTCTCGTTTTCAGTGACCCATGCACTACCTTTATTTCCACTGGGAATAAATCATGGGAAATCTTTTGCCGGGTTCAGACTACATGATATTTTTGTCGGTCACGATAGTCACTGTGTCAGATTACATGATTTTGACTCCTAAAATCTTGTTGTGGCGTGGACAAGAAACATGTCAGACTACACGTTGCTTCCCGACCAGTCATCGAGAAGGCGGAACTAGCGACTGACTTCCGAAAACAAGAGTGTAAACATTGCTGCAGTGCTTCCGCTATAGTTCGCCAGCATTTTTCTTTCTTTGTTCTGTCGTGGTAGTCCCTTGATGACACATCATATAGGCAGGAGTACTGTTGCCACAGCTCCACGAACCTTTCCTCCATCTCATAATTCCACCTAGCAGCACCATCATCTCTCTTTCATTTTGCCATGTTTGAAACCTGTGTCTGAAAGAGCTTCTGTGCTGCTATTGGTCAACATCACCAATGTGACAGAACTCGTCGTGGACGACGGAAAAAAAATTAAACATGCTAGTCTTTCTGTCGTGATGTCGTGAAGCATCGCAGACGCGGAATCGGTTGTCGTCCGCTATGACACGCTACACGTGCTGAAACGATGGAATCTTGCGTCCCGACGCCCATTATCATTTACGAATCCCCACGACACCCTACGTCAAGCAAATCATGGCAAAATCAGGCTAAAATCTTGTAGTCTGAACCGGGCATTAGAGTGAATATCAGTGCAACCTGCACCTCTCAGGTTTGCCCTGTGGGTGGCAACATACCTGCAAATGTACACTACCGTGATCTGTCCTGAAATAATAGCAAGGAAAAAGTGAATAAATCCACATTATAATGTAAAACTTTCCAAGACAAGTTTGTTTTGCAACTGGAAAATGCAATTTGTATTTTGACACCTTTTGATGCTGCTAATGCCAGTCTAGAGCTGTTTTTATGTTTATTATTCCAGTATGCATCTAAATGGTTTTTGTTTTCATATCTGATTGTCATTTCATACTTCTCTCTCTTGTTCTTCTCCCCCACCCACCATCCTGTTTCTCTCTGTGACGCTGGAGAAGAAAGAGGACAAAGTGGTTAGCATTTTCTATTATCTTTTTGTTCACTGTGCAGTGTGAATGCTGATCTGAAAGTGTTTTTCCCTCACTCCCTTCATTCACATATACAAGTACTTCAGTACTTCAGTATTATTTATTGTTTGTTTGTTTGTGTGTGTGTGTGTGTGTGTTTGTCATTATGTGTTTGCCTGGTATGCAGTGAGCACTTCATGTAACATTTAGTACAATTACCACATGCAGAAGCCTCCTTTAAATATTGACATGTCTAACCTATTTATACAGTTCTTGTTAGTAAATCACCCACAATGCACACATGTAGTGCAGTATGTAGCACCCTTTATTTGTGATCCTAGTTAATCAGGGCCAGAGAATGTGTTCGATGAATGCATGTCCTGCTTGACCTGCTATACTGTTAAAATGAACATGCACTGTGTCTTCTCTCATGGCACTGAATTCGTTTATCAGAACAGTGCCATATACTTCAGTGCTGCAAAAAGATCCCTGTATATGCAATCCAGAGCTCATTATCCCAATGATTATCAGGCCTCTTGGTAATATTTGTGTTTTCTTCTTCAGCCAAGCGTTTCTTTCTGAATGTTGCTGTTTTTGAAGTCAGATTCGTTTCCCTAGGCAGTACACTATCCTCTCAGTCTCTTGTTCTTTCTTTCTTTTCCAAAGATCCATTTAGACTATATGGTCAGCCAGGCTGGGCTTTGGAGCTGTGTAGTTTTTAACACCAGAACTTCGGTGATACTGGAAAACACTAACGATGTGTCATTCAACTGCCCACCTCCTCAAAGCGACACTGTGAAATGATTAATATTGATCTTTCTCCTCTTCCTTTACATCTTGTTTGTGGATATTATATTGACAGGGAAATTAATTAAAATAGATTTACATTTTTTGTCATATTTTAGTTTTATAATTTTTTTTTATTTCAGTTTGAGTTATTTTAATACATCAAGTTAAACTAAATTAAAATGAGAATGTTGCCTTGGCCAGCTAAAAAAGCAAAACAAACAAAAACATTTTTTTTTAACATTTATTATTAACAATTTAACATTTATTTCAAGTAAATATATATTTTTTATGTTTTTAGGTTTAGTTATCTAAAACAACCCTGGTGAGAATTACAGATTTTTTTTTAAACAGCCTTTGGTTAGGCCTCATGTAGGACTTTATGTAGTGAAAATACGAGACACAGATCCAGTGGGGATTTGGACTTGAGTTCAGGTGTACAGAGACGAGTATAATGTGACAATGAAATGCACACACACACAAAAGTCTGGCGGTACCATGGGAGGCGTTGTATTCATAGACCTCATCAATCTGCTTAATTCAGAGAAGGCCTGATGTTTGGAGAGGGAGTCGAGCTAAACTTATCACCGTATCGATCCGCAGATGGCTTGTCAAGTGTGAGATGTATGTCTCAGTGACGAACGACTAAAAGTTGGTTTTGTAACATCAACAGGGAGATGAAATAGATTATTTACACTATTGATCCGGTATTTAACAATAGGAATGGTCTTTGTATGAGGGACGGGTGAAGGAGTGTTTTGAGAGAGGGCTGGTGGGTGAGCGTCTCCAGGCGCTGATGTACTGGCTCATTAGACGGAATGGACAGTAATGTATTTTGTGGCAGTCTTTCATCCTTATCCAGGATTTATAACATGCTGAATTATGGGTCTAGCTCTGCCTGTTGCCGCCCCAATTCATCAAGCTGTCGGAGGTGGAAGCGTGTACTGCGTTCTCCCTTTTCCTCCACTCACCGAACTCAAGCACTCCATTTATCCACCCCGTTTGCGTGGACCTGACACCGGCGGACAACCCTGCCTGTCCGCATCTTACCGAGCGATGGAAATTAAATGATATTAACAAGATGGAGGAAGAGGCGGAGTCTGATGATGAATGCTAGTCAAACAAAGCCAGCTGGAGTCAGATGATGGCTCGTTGGTAAATTGTTACGAATCTCAGCAGTTGTTCCAAACCTGGAATACAAAAATACTATTAAAGTATTTTTTTAAATCTTAATATTTAAATCAGTTTCATTTGATCTCTATAGAAACCCTTGATGTTAACAAGTAGCGATATTTAAGACTTTGTAAAATAAGTCTCTTAAGCTCACCAAATGCCGAAATTAATTTGGTCAAAAATAAACAGTAATATTGTGATATTATTATATTAACTGTTTTCCATTTTATTTCATATTTTAATGTAATTTGTTCCTGTGATGGCAAAGCTGAATTTTCAGCAGCCATTTATCCAGTCTTTAAAGTCACACAATATAATGCATCCTTGCTGAATACAAATATTAATTTCCTCCAAAAAAAAACAAAAACCTACTGACCCTAAACTTTTAAACAGCACTATACATTTTATCTTGTCTTTTAAAAGTGTATTTGTTTTGATATTCTAACTATGCTTTTTATTTTATTTTATTTTTGCTTTTAGTGCTGTTTTTACTCCAAAAGAACAGACCTGCGACAGATCTTTTTGTTGCGACCCACCAGATCCACTGCTGTTGAGTGTGTTCAGTGGTTTGTGGTTTACACAGAAACCATACAAACGAGTGTAGAATCGGATTTTCGACTGAGAGTAATTTATCAGCGGAGCTATTGAGAGCCTGAGTTCAAGAGTTTTGTTTCAGTGAGCTGTGGGTAGATTGTGCCGCTGGGTGGAGAAGAGCCAGAGATTTTCATGACGAGTCTTCTGGGGTTCTAGATTCGTTTACTGCAAACATCTTTTGCCTGGACATTCAGGTACTGTTCCACAAGAGCTGAGAATGGGTGTCATTTTTCTTGCATCACAAAAGCATTGACAGTTTTACACAAACAAAAATAAACCATGTTTTGGGATGACTAAAAAACTGTGTCTATTACATTCTCTTAATCTTGCATTGAAAGGGTGGAGAGGGACGAGTGCTTTAGTGTAATCCAGGACACGCTTGTATTGGATAACACATGCCCACACATAAAGCACACATACATGCAAATGGCAGAAGTTCATTTTTTGTGGGTAATCCACTAAAGAAAGTGAAATATGCCACTGACATTTTAGAAAAGTGTTTAGTAGTGTTAATATTGTTAATTTCATTGTCCTTTTATTTAAAAATTAAGTGTTAATTATTTTTTAATCTAAAACAAATAGTAATTTTATGTCTAGTTTCATCTTGTGTCCACTTTCAAAATCCTCCAACCTTTGCTTCTGAGATATTTAACTTAGATATTGTGTAGACTGTGCCAGCTGTATTGTCTAGTTGATATATATTGATGTTTACTTTATTTTAATGTGTTTGAAAAGCCATTATATTGCAATGAAATATTCAGGTGCTTAAAAGGAAACCATTTCACAGTGACACCTGAATTCAAATCATTGATGATTCTGATAGTTCTGATCTTTATAATATAGTATAATATAATATAATCAGGGTTGCACATAAGTTTTTTGGTCTGGTTCTCATGAGAGCGCCTGGATATTTGGTTTGGTGCTCACACTGCACATAGTGTGACCATAGACTGTATAAAAACATGGACGTAGTGTCCGTGACGTCACCCGTAAGTTCCTGAAGAGCGTCTTTGAAGCTCAAAGTGGGCAGAGCCGGCCGTTGCCATCTTGGCAGCGCCTCACCGCGTGTCACTCCCGGATAATCGAAAATGGGCAAAAGGTGGGAGCTGGTTGCTGAAACCACGCCCACCTAGCTCGACGGTGGTGACAGCAGCGGCAATCCACTTGTCACTCAAGTGGCCACACCCTTAATTATGCAGAACTTTGAGGCTTATTATAATTTAAACAGATGACTTATAAAAACATTCACCCCCTCACAGTTGTTATGAAGGGCAAAATTAGCTATATAGACCAAAATCATTTTTTGAACCAGGCTGTAAACATGTTTTTTTCTGCTGTAAATTTGGGCATTTTAACATGGGGAGTCTATGGGACTGACTCCCTTTTGCAGCCAGCCTCTAGCTACCAGTTGACGAATTACAGTTTAAGTCACTTCAGTGTTGGCTTCACGACAGAGAGCGGGAGGTTGCCGCTTGAGTGTGACCCATTAAACATATATATACAAAAAATTTAAATAATAATCAATAATAGTAATACTAGTATTATTGGACTTTATTCAGTTTTTTTTTTAATAAAATAATTAACAAAACAATAAATAAAGTGTGATGATAATACTATTTTATTTTAAAATAAATAAAAATACAATTATTTTATAGTACACTTGAAAAATACAATGCTAATATTTACATTGGTTAAATATTGTCATTTTTTACTTTTTTATTTTTATATGAATTTTCAACATTTACAAACCTAAAATCAGCAAGCTTCAATCAATAAGCTTTTATTTTGCCAGGGTTGCCATCAAGGAAGTTTATGTGCTTCCGGGTTTAGCGCTGCCAAGTGAAGTGCATCATTGAATGTCACAGTTTCGTGTTTTTCTTTGAAACTGATAGCTCCTGGCCTAGATTTATGCTTTAAAGGGATAGTTCACCCAAAAATGAAAATGTGATGTTTATCTGCTTACCCCCAGGGCATCCAAGATGTAGGTGACTTTGTTTCTTCAGTAGAACACAAACGAAGATTTTTAACACAAACCGTTGCAGTCTGTTAGTCTTATAATGGAGGTGAATGGGAATCACGGCTTTGAGAGTAAAAAAAAACATACACAAACAAAGCCAAATTAAACCCTGTGGCTCGTGACGATACATTGATGTGTAAAGACACAAAACGATTGGTCAGTGCAAGAAACTGAACAGTATTTATATCGTTTTTTTACCGCCACCTATCTCTCAAATGGACCATTGACACTCTATCTACAATCTCAATTAGGAGTGTCAATGGTCCACTTGAGAGATAGGTGGCAGTAATGCACTTATAAGTCTGCGATCCGCAGTAAAGCAAGAAGAAGAAGACGCCTGACGCGCCTGCTGTTGAGAATGCGCTCAGGAGGACGTGCTGCCGCTCAGGACAGTTTGAACAGTTTGAACAGTTTGGACATTACATGAATCAGAGGT